TCCCGATTAGGGTACTGCTACCCCAGGAAAGTCACCCCGATTATTTGCGGAGAAATAGTTACCGTGTCGATCACATATTTGCCGGTAGCTACGTGAAAAGGGATCAAACAAAATTGTCTGACCAGCTGCTACTGGTCCTTCGAAAGTTATATGCCAAAAGACGCGGTATTTACCCGGTTTAGCCGGTTCAAGCTTTAGGAAACGCGGAGGAATGGAGATCTGGTGTTTAATAGGCTTGAAGCTTTACCCCGGAATTCTGGTTCCTGAGTATATATAGGCTACTCGAGCCTTGACGTGGAAAATAAGGTTAGCACACATTGTCAGGAGAAATCGGATGTCAGAATATCAGAGATGCTACTACGTGTTTTCCCCCGTATCCTTTCCCTGTTCCTCCTCCTTCGCATAGTCTGGTCCTACCCTCTTGGCTCAGCAATAGGCCTACGGAACAATGTGTCGTTTCTCAATCCAGATACGCACTGGGTTAGCATATGGACCGCCATGCCTCAGTTGACTGAGCCAGCTAACCTACCTCCACCTCCATATGTATGAACACTCTCAGAGATCCAACATTCACTCTCTAACATTACTAGAACTCTTCAACATCCATCTTTCAAAACACTACCATCCGCCAGACCATTCGTGTCACTCAACCAGGTCCTGAGATTCGCTTACGCTTGTCCAACGCGTTCGGTCTAGAGGATCTCTCAATTACCAAGGTGGCTATCAGTCTACCCGTAGACCAGAAGCTCGGGACGAGTGCGATCCAGTCCAATACCACGAAGGACGTCCTCTTCAGTGGTAGCGCAGACACGATTATCCCGAATGGAGGTTTAGCCGTTTCAGACCCGATTGCATTCCCAGTGGAAGCCCAAGATACGCTCGCCATTGACATCTATCTGCAACAGGGTCAGGGTGGCGGAGCTATCACCTCCCATCCCGGAAGTAGAACGACATCATGGATGAGTTCAGGCGACTGGGTTGGAAAAAAGAATCTGACAGATCCTTCAGTGGATAGCGTCGATCACTGGTTAATCGCCTTGCCTGTACTGCCCCGTTAATATGAAACTGACAGAATGCTAGGTATTTTATCAGCGCCATTGAAGCTATCCTCCCATCCACAAGTCGCAGCTGCGCACTCATCGGTGACAGTATCACAGACGGACGAGGAAGTGACACCAACGAAAATAACCGGTAGGAGAGCATATCTTCTTAATCACCCCAAACCCAGCTAACAACTCCAGCTGGCCTGACCTCCTCCTAACCCGCATGCAACAAACCCCAACAACCAGCTCAATCGCTCTCCTCAACCAAGCAGCAGGAGGCAACCGAATTCTCGCCGATGGGCTTGGTCCCAACGTGCTCAGTCGTCTTGACCGCGACGCTCTGGCGCAATCAGGCGTCCGATACGGCATTGTCTTCGAAGGCGTCAATGACATCGGCGTCGCTGATGCCGATCCAGAGGTCCAGAGGCAGATTGGCGATAGACTTATCGCTGCATATCAACAGATAGTCACTCGTTTCCACGCAGCTGGCATTCCTGTGTTTGGGGCTACGATAACGCCCTTTGGAGCGCCGGGTAATGCCTCTGATGTACAGCCCTACTCGAATCCTATAAGGGAGGAAACACGTCAGAGAATCAATGAGTGGATAAGGACGAGTGGTGTGTTTGATGCTGTTTTGGATTTCGATCCGGTGCTTAGGGACCCTGAGGCACCGGCTCAACTTGCGGATGAGTACGATTCCGGTGATTACTTACACCCGAATGTGGCGGGTTACCAAGCCTGGCGGATTATTTTCCTTTGGAATTGTTTGAAAAGTTTAGGAATTAGGACTAGCAAATATCAACAAAGAGCTAAGGCTATCGCTGAATACGGCTGGCGGGTGTAAACCTAACTTGCCAGGTTGTGGCTAGGAATTGGACTATCATGCATTAGATCTATACTGACCGCTATTTCACACCAAGAATAATACATAAATCATCTGCGCCGTATCTCATTACTTCTGTTCAAAGAATCCTATATAGTAATGCGATCCTAACTGCGCCTTGGGTTTATTCCCTGTAGATTCCTCTGATATTCGTAATTAACTTTTCAAACATTGGCATAGTAATATGGCTGTCTACATAAAAGCAACCCTAGCGACCTAAGTGAATAGCTCTATTACATCCAGTAGTCAACGCAGAAATCAGATACTACTACTTTATTTGATGAGATAGCTCCTGGTCATACCCGTTGGTGCCTGTTGTAAACTCATGATTCAGGATTGAGTTGCATATCCGGGCTGTGGAGTAAAATTCCTGGAGCGTTGTATTACTGGCTAGTTTGATAGCAATATTTGGGAATCCAGGCCCTACCTGTAGAAAGATGCTGGAATTTAAACTCAACGAGGCTACATTCTATGTTGTAAAATGCATCTAACTAATTGTATTAAAGCGCTTGGTCTATATATCATCGAGTCCGTATTTATTCCCTTCCTATAAATACGAACCACAATGTTATTTCGCCTCCCAATCGAGTTACGTTTGAAAGTATACGCCCTCGTATTTGAGACATGTCCATGTCACAATCCACACGCCTTTCATACACCCCGGCATCAGATTGCCCTAAATCTCCTCCTTGTGAGCCGCCACATCTACGCGGAAGCCCGTGTTCTGGGTTTTCAACTCCACCGATTCGACTTTCAAAAGTGGTGTGGCACTGGCGTCCATTCCTGTCGCATTTTTCTCCAGCGTCTGCATCGATGGCAGTTATGCTCAATTCAAAGGCTGTCTGTACGGGCTGTGGAGAGCAGCCTGGTAAGCGGATATGGCGGCTGTCAGTCCAACTCAGAATGGCTGGAGATCTGCTCAATACTGGGGGTTGCGGCCGGGCCACATGGCGCTGGGTTACGGGAATTGAGTCTGACGGTTGAAGGTCATTTACTGGAAGGTGGTTCGGAGCTTCTTAATACCGACGCTGAATGGGTGGAGAGAGGGTTAGGAAGTTTGACGGGTCTGCAGTGCCTGGAACTGATTATTGCAAATGATACAATTGAAATAGGCGTAGTGGAAAGCTTCAAACACAAGCTGGTAGATATTTTCAGCGGGGTCCAGGTTGTGATCAAGGCTGTGGTGGGGGGTAAAGTGATTTTTGTATAGTGTCGAGTGCGGTACTGTGTCAAATTTGGATGAAATTGTTGTTCTGTGTGGCAGCAAAAATTGCATGAGAGAGTTGCTATCTACTACTACATAGGATTCTAAAGAGCTTAGTGCTTATTGGCTACTTCTAGAGCAATGACTCGTGGCCTCGCCCGCATCAAAGACCCAGCTTTATAGAGGTCGAGAAGGGCCGATAAGTGGACCCTTTATCACCTTCACATTAACCGACCAACATACCTATTGAGAAAGATTATGCATTCCAATACAACGATTGGTCACTTCTACTACATCAAGGGACAATCAGGGCCTGATTCACATAGTCCGAGGAAATACCATGGCATACCTGATGGTCCTTGGCTACTTCTAGAGCAAGTGACAACAGCGAAAGGAGGCTGGTAAACAATCTACAGGAAAAGCCGAGTGGAATATAAAAATGGACGCACAACCCGTGAGTTCTCTGGAGAAACAAAAAGCTCAGGATTACCATATCTCAAATCTCACATACACAGACACCATGGCACCACTGTCGATTCCTTCCTCCCAGACGATTTCCCCACCCATCTTTTACTGGGGCACACCGGTGGTGTTGATAACAACGGAGAACGAAGATGGAACATCCAATATCGCGCCCATGTCATCGGCATGGTGGCTGGGCAATCGATGCATGCTGGGCTTAGGGGCCATATCGCAAACCACGATCAACCTGATTCGAACCAAACAATGCGTCCTAAACCTCGCCTCCGACAACATGGCTGGAGCCGTCAATGCTTTAGCAAGAACAACGGGGTCGAAGGAGGTTATGACTGCAGCTGAGGGAACAGGCTACCTGTACTTCAAGCGCATGAACGGTTACAAGTATGTGTCGGATAAGTTCGGACATTCAGGCCTAACGCCTGCGGCTTCCGATTTGGTTCGACCGCCCCGGATTGCTGAGTGCCCAGCTCAGATGGAGGCCGAATTGAAGGGGGTGTATGAAATGATGCAAGACGCGGAGATGAAAGGATTTATCGCCTTGGAGGTCCAGGTGACGCGAACTCACGTCCATGACAATATTCGCATGGCAGGGCATGCCAACCGGATTGACCCCGACAAATGGCACCCCTTGATTATGAGTTTTCAGGAGCTATACGGACTCTCTCGCAAGAAAGCTTCGGCGTCGGTTCTCGCCAAAATTAACGAAGAGGGATACCGGCCATTCGCGAACCCTGTCGATGAGGAGGTATCAACGGAAGAGGACATATAAATAGTTTCTGCTGACGTTCACTTGTTCCAGTCTCGAATGGGGTCATCTTAATCATACATATCGGGATGATTTGTTGAACCATAGCGTGGTTGATTGATTGAGAAAGTCTTCTTAGATTGAGGGTCTTTACAAATGTACTTAGCCATTGAACAAAAGCTTTACAGAACATATCCGCTGTATAATCATTGTGCACTCCGGTCTACTCACCGATGATCAATAGGCATACAGGGGGCGCTGTATGCACGACGATTCGTAGATGTGCCTAAATCACATTAACGTGATACCCAACAGAAACGAGGAGAACCGATCCATCAAATCAAATCTCTACAAACGTCTATCAATGGACAACGCACAGACCTTAGTAAAACAAAGTCCAGACCACTATCATTTTTAGTACCATCTATAGACCTGCCTTCCCAGCTTTTAGGCACCATTGCAATCAACCTAGTGAAACTGATATAGGTTTTGCCTACCTTAAGATCGTTCACATCATCCACACAGAGTACTTCCTCCCCTTGCTATAAAAGATCTTGAAAGTAACCAAAAGGTTTCTAACAGAATCTTGTCTATTCTCTCCTTTCCTTCCTCGTCCTATTCCCGCTCTCTCCTGTATTTCTCAACATGAGTCACCGTCTTCAATCAGATGCTCCAGTTATACTTTCAATGAAAGTTTGCAGTAAGGACGACAGTGAATACAGGATACTGATTCACGGCCGTGTTAGGTACTTGACCATTGCCCGTGGTACATACGACAGGTCAACACTGTCTATGCCTTTGAGCTCATTGCCAGATTTACCTAAAAGCGACGCATGGAACCGAGCACATATTAGTCGGGACTCCTCGACTGGCGAGCTCGAAGCAAAAGTATGGAATGAAACGTTGCCTGGAGTTCAGGATATTTGGCATCCTGAGTCATTTGACTGCTTGGACCTGAAAAGAGTGAAACAAATCACCGCGGCTACGTTTGAAGCGACTTTGTCGAGACATGGATTATCTGCGTTATCAACCTCTATGCCCACGGTCATTGCCAAGGTTGCACGATTCCAATGGGAAATACCTCGCTTATCGCAAGAAACTCGTATATATAAGAGCTTAGAAAATACTGGTGTCACCCCACGATTCCTTGGCCATATTCATGAACATGGTCGCGTGATTGGGATTTTACTGGAGAAAGTTGAAGGCCGCGAAGCGAATATTGAGGACCTATCAGCTTGTGTATCTGTTCTCAAGAAACTCCATAGTATCGGTATACTTCACGGTGATGTGAACAGATATAACTTCATCATTCAAAACGACACAGCGAGGCTGATCGACTTTGAGAGAAGTCGAATATGCCATGGTGACACAGCACCCCTGGACGTTGAGATGGCAAGTCTAAATGATCAATTGAATGAGGATACAGGACGCGGTGGGGGATTCTTATTTAAACAAGAATAAGCATAAAGTGAGCAGTGATCTGCTCTTTGAATACGCTCCATTAAACCAAATACTCCATGTTATCACTCAGACAGCGCTGGCAGCCATGAACGTACAAGCCGTTCTGCCAGCAGATTTTGGAAATCATACGGCCTAGAATAACTCGGCTGCATGGACCGGTGTATAAGTCCGGCGCGCTAGGAGAAGAATGAAGATGAAGGAAACTTAGAAGAGATATATAGTGAGAAAACTTTAAGTAAACGTAATATACTACTCTTAATATAGTTTGATACCCTTCCTACCAGAAGAAATGTGCAAATTCTTCAACAGGATTATGGATTAGGAATGCTGCTGTAAATGGCCCTACTCTGGTTTATTTTATAAAGAGGTAGGCGACTAAATCAATACTAAAGAGAAAGATAAATGTAAACATATTTGTTTCTATGAACTGAAGGCTTCGTATCTTGTTCGTGGACCTTCGATGGTGTCCAGCGATTTCATGGGTCCTGGGCTCCCCGAACCACTCTATGTGAGACTGTAAATCATCAAACATGGTGCCGATACTTTACCTTTCCATGAGCTATAGTAGCTGGGTAGTATGTTCGGATATCAATAACTGATAAGGAGAACTCTTGGAGAATTTCTCAAGAAATCTGCTCTGGTTTGTCACGCAGATGGCAGATCCTCACCGCCTCTGCAAAAACCGGTTTTTCAGCCAAGAGCGGTGGAGCACTCCGGCGGACCCAATAGACCACAATGGCAGTCAAGGGATTATTAATAGTATCAGTCACATGGTTCCATGGTTCCATGGTGTGTCACGTGAATGTCCCGGTCGAGTGACCTAATGGGGATTAGCGCCAAGCATGAAACGATTCTTGCCCCAAATCCAGACTCTGGCTTTGAGTCAGATTGACACAACCAATGTCTAGCATAAAGGTCCTTCAATATCTTCCACATTTCATACATACGGAGCATGTTCCATGTTGGCATATATTCGGCCCAGTCTCAGTCTGATCCGTGCGGATGTGTAACGGTGTCGCGTGGCATTGATCGTTCGAGGCCGACCTATATTACTGTAATATATATAATTATATATGGGTCTTGTGATGATATACACGGTATGCAGCACGGCCATACTCCGTATGCGAGTCATGGATGCGATCGCTGGGGTTATTCCGGGTTCAAAACGGTTCTCATGGGGGCATATATGCCCTACATGTTATTACGGAGCGTGTAGTAGGTGACGCCCCCATTTAGTATTGGCCTTGGCGAGTTGGCGTCGGTGACTATTTCCTTTACTCCTCTCTATGAGTGGGAATAGAGATGGGTATTCCATGTTAGCTGGGATCTAGTAGTAGTAGCTAACCTTCCACGGAGCGCTAATGGAGGGGATGTTTGTGTATGTTGGATTTGATCATAGGGTTCGCCATTATAGAACTTCATCGTCTCCAAAAAGCCACCACGTGCATTTCATATTGGTCAGAGCGAGCATATTGATATACAATTTTTATGCAGTTAATCATTCCATCCAAATCATAAATAGAGTTGCATGTCATCAGAAGCTTAACAAAATAAGGGTATTAGCAGGGTTACATTCGGTTACGTAGTCCTTGCAGAATTTTCCTGCAGCAGACGCTGCGTACCTGGAAAACACGTTCGGATGTGGAGGCAGAACAACCAGCCCAGCAAATTGCACACCATCAAACTAGCCAGTTAGGCGATGCATAAATGGAAAGCGATGTTGGGTCCACCGTCCACTTTCTTCGAAGCGGAGCGCATCAAGCGGTAGTACCCTATCATAGTCTGCGGTCGGATGACTGACAGATGCTAAAATGGAGTTTGCTATGCTTCCGGGTCTGCTTCTCGAAATAACAATTAGAAGCCAAAGTAATGGCCCCTGCATGGAACAACTGCAGGGAGGAGAGAGGCCACGAGGTTGTCAGGGGGCTGTACAAGCCAGTTTCGGATATGATACTAGTATGATAGCTCGGGGCAAAAAAAAGAAATAACCAGTAGTCTATTACTAGATCAGTCTGAATACGGAGTACAAATAACTGCATGCGTGATTATTCTATTTAGCTCTCCAACTACGTATTTCTTGCCGCAACTATTTCTTCTTGACAAGGCCAAGGGGCCAAGGGAAGTTTATAGCGACGCTAGGTACCGTAATCGAGTGATCGTCCCCTGGACGCGGCAGGTGGTCTACGCATGCCGGACAAGTCATGGCTTTCGAAATAGTACTGCTAATTCTGTCGTAGGAGCCAAGTTGGGTGGAGCGAAGCTGGAGGGGAGCCAAGTGGGTATGCTAAGTAAGGGGCGCGGCGGTTGAGCCTGTGGAGGCGAAAGTACCGGAGATGGCCATAGAGGGACTGGATTCCGAATGCATCGCACGGTTTTCTCAAAATGGTAGGTTTATTTTCCCGCAGTCAGTTTCATGTAAAAGCCACCAACACGAAAGACGTCTAAGAAGCAACTTTATTTAGGGTTACCGCGAGATCCTCTTGCAGGAGAGGAAGGCTTTCTACGATACGAGTTGACCGACCCACCGGAATTCTTGGGCCGGCACTCGCACTAGATGTCAAAACCGTACATGTACACTGCCGATCTAATGTTTCGGGAAATTGGCCACGATCCCCGTCGACCTTCGGACTCGCGAATCATAGCAGGATCTGATTTGAACTACCGTTGCGGTCCAGTACCGGACCGTACCCCGAATACCAAGAGTCCCCGACTGGGTGAAAAGTTGAAAGCCCCTCGGCAGGTCTCCTGTCTGGCTTGGACGCTAGATGACGATCTGCTCACCTAGCCATCTTTGGCTCTTGTGAACGGGTCGGAGGATCAATTAGGGTAATTTTTGCTGAGGATCATTGCACCTGCCCGGTGGACCACTGCATCAAAGCTTTCCAACTGGGACGTCGTTCGCGGCTCCATATTAGACAGCGGTTCCCCTCCACCAGGCGTTCTGTAGAGAATGAACTTGATCCCACTCTACTTGGTCACCGCCCCTACGCTTCCTGGGGATTCATATCACTTAGAATGCTTCTGCATCGGATACTGGTTCTGGCCTCAGTGACGCTGGCAGCCGGGGCTGTGGCTGCAAGTACTGAATCAGAAGACACATTACCCCAGTGCGCGGTATGGTGCGGGAATCTAGAGCCCTGAAGGACTCTTGCTGACCTCCTGATAGGTAACCTGCCAGAGTCAATTAATCGCCGATAATTCAACATCATGCGCATCTACCGACACATCATGCCTTTGTGGCGACGATACATTTCAGAATGACATGGTCACTTGCGTTTCCGCCAGTTGTACTCCAAAACAGACTCTCCGTATGTATCTAGGCTTATATCGCAGCCTTTTTTGGTGTCTAACGGTCTGGCAGTCACCACACGACTCAGTAATCGCCAATGCGGCATACCTCCGCATAAAGGACGTCCGGAGCTAGACTCGGCCACACTCGTTCCTCTGATTTTTTCCACTCTCCTTTTCGCCAACCGAATTGCTGCGAAATTCATGGGCCTCGGTGGTGGATGGGGTCCAGACGATTACACTATTATCGTGGCATATGTGAGGCTTCTTATCGCTCCCACGCAGATCAGGATTTGTGTGCTAAGACGGATTTCAGGGACTGGCAGTAGCTATATTCGGCGTCAATGCATCGAGTAAGCTGAATAAATATGGATCGCGGATACGTTTCGGGCTGACTTTCCATCTCAGTGATCCATTATGGCTTTGGGCAGAATATGTGGGACATAACTCCACTAGACAACATCACCATAGTACTCAAGGTTTGTTTTTACTTGCGTCTGCCACAACCTAGCCGCTTGACTGACGATCCACAGTACTTCTTCGCCTTTGTCATATTGTATAAGACACAAATTTCCCTGGCAAAGATCTCCGTGTGCCTGTTCTTATTGAGAATCTTCCAGTCGAAATTGTTCCGCTATGGAGCGTTCACGATCATCGCATTGAACGCTGCGATCGGAATCACCTGGGTAATGACTGATTCCTTGCGGTGTATTCCAGTTCATCTGTCCTGGGATCAATGGGCGACCGGCGAACAAGGGACGTGTGTCAACTTCATCGCGGTTACGTTCGTCAACGCCTATGTCAATATCGGAGTGGATACGGTCATGGTGCTCATGCCGGTCTACGAGGTTTTCAAACTGAACTTGTCCGCGCGCAAAAAGGCCGGCGTCAGCGTTATGTTTGCAATGGGTCTTGTGTAAGTCTTGTCCGTCCTCTACGGCTTTAATACTCGTCCTGACAACGATGGCGAACAGCCTCACCGGCGTTGCAATTGCCCGTGTGATTGTCTTCTGGTTCAACCGCTGGAATACAAACCCTACTGGTAAGTACTATCGGTTCCCCATCAGACGCCTTGCGAACGCATAGGATGCATTCGGCAGTACCGGAACTGACCATACGGTTTCAGTCCAACTTCAACCGATCGTGCACTGGTCGGTCATCGAAGTCCACATCGCCGTGATGTGTGCCTGTCTCCCAACCTTCCGAGCGATGCTGGTCCATATTTTCCCAAAAGTGCTCGGCAATACCAGTGACCAGTCCTACTACGAACAGAGAAACACGCCCAGCAAGCCGCCCACATTCGGCTCCAGCCAAGCGCTCAGTAAAAGTCACATTAACAAAACGGTCTCCTACTCGGTTGACTACGGGGCGAATAAGAGGCCCCAGAGACACAGCTTCGTGCCACTGGTCGAACTGGATCCACACGACCATTGACTTTGGGCGGGGAATTCGGTCTCAGCCGAGATTACTCGGGAGTTGTGTTGCTTTCGTCGTACATTTCTTAGCTTTCCTTTGTTCAATACCATCTATTCATGTATTTATTATAATATGGGGCGTCCCACTCTATATGAACGAGCTCATGCCAAAATATCCCAACGAAAAATACAATTTTATGCTGTGTTTCCGGCTAAATGCGAACAGCCCTATGCTGGACCCTAGAAAGTACAACAGTGAACCATGGTACCTGATGTCCAGGCCTCTGTTTCAGATCC